TATTTGGTATCATATATCATCATACATAAAACAAATACACATAAATATACATAATCATTTGAAAGACAATATTTGGGAATCCATAAATTTTAAATAGATTTATAAATAAATATTCAGAAAACCATATTTTAGATAGCGACTATTTGATACCAGGATAACCCATTAAAGCTGGAGAGCTTATTTCCAATGGGGTCCTACCCTAAATAAGATAAAAATACAATGTTTCATCATTAAAGCACTATAACAATTTTTGGCACTATAATCTTAGCACTGCGTTGCTTACACGTTAAATTTAATTTAAGTATGACAACATATAGGATCAATAAAATAATAAAATATGTTTTATAAGTTAATGCTGAAACATATCACTTTCATGTTCTAAAATGCCATTTTGTAAGATAAAACTCTTAACTTGTTTCTTAAAAGTAATCTTTCCTTTAGTACATTTAATAGAAGCTGGTAAAAAATTCCAGTCCTTAATGCCATTATAGTAAAAAGTATCCGCTTGACATGCTTTCACATGAGGAATAAAAAAATCTTCATTAGTGGATGCTCTAGTGTTTCGTGAAGACACAGCTGACCTTAAAGTAAAATTTTCGCTTAGATAGGATGGCGCACAACCATGATATATGTTATACACATGGTTTAATCTGAGTTGTCTTACCCGGTCTTCTATATTTAAATAATTTAATGTACTAAGCACTTTGGAAAAAAGAGGTTTGGAAGGAGATTTGATGACTTAAAATGTTCGTCATATTTACAGTTAAACACGCTTATAGAGAACACGCTTATAATGAACTGACGCTTATAGCGAAGAAATTTTCATTCCCTGTGGCTTACAGGTATAACAAATTACGTTTATAATGAAGCATAATCGCCCGTCTCCGGTACTTCGTTTTAAGGGTGTTATACTGTACATAATCCAATTTCCATTTCAATAATAATGATAAAAATCAGTCAATAACTTTTTTGCAACATTTGATGATTTGGTATTTCGATTCTTTCTGATATCATGTATACAAGGTTGGCAACAATGTAAGACTCTGAAAATCAGTCAAATTATTCAATCTGATCGACTTGTATAATAACCCCTGAGATACTATATTTAAAAAAAAAAATAACCCGTGATGTTGATATCTTAAATGTAAAAAGTTAATTGTAGTGCTAGTTGTTTTTGTTTCTCCATTTCGTTTGATTTATGACTTTTTTTATCTTTTCTTTGTTCTGAGGAAGGACGGGGCGTCCCAACATTTGACAAATTTTATTGATCGTGTCATTGGTGGTTATTAGTGCCTTGTATAAATTACCAACCGTGACCTTGTATCTATTTAGTAGATCCGACATAATAGGATATACAGTGTTGTTAGCTTTCTTGTGCTTCTTATAAATTATATATTTAAAGTATGTTTGTTGTGTAATCCTTCTTATTTCTGCTGTTATTATAGCAAAAAGTTCCCGTAAATCTAAAAACAATCCAATAAGTTACCTGTATATGCCCAATAAGTTAGAAAATCTGTCATTGGACAGTTATTTTCAACTTATTCGACAGTATTAAAAACAAAAGAAAAATGATAATATTTCAAACAAAAGCAAGGTTTTAATTTCAAATTAAATGAATGTCACAGGTAAAACATATCACCGATAAAATATATTTTTTGGAATTCCTAATACATTTTCTGTGTTAGATTCACAATTAATATATACTGCATGAATTTTAAGGAATTCCTATTATGTGGTTTTTTTTTAGATGCACAATTCACATTTTCGGTACTGCACGTCACAGCAGAATTTGAAAGGCATATATTCATGCTTTATATGAATTTCACTTCTTCCATAGACACTTTACGAAAAGGTATAAACTTCGAAAAAAAATCTGCAATAGCTTCCATATTTTTTAAATAGCTTTTTTTTTAAAAAAAAAAAAAAAACTTTCAGATCTTTTTAATTCAAAGAATTAATTTTCATGAGATATATCCTAAAAGTCTTCACCACTGAAATTCGGTTTCATAACATTCTCACTCTGTATATCCGGAATTTCACGTATAAACATTCTCAGTATTTGGACCTTCAACCTCACAGTGTCAAGGTTTTGTGATTTCGGAACTCCACACAAACCCTTGACATAAGTCGCTATTTAATAGTTGGGTTTCTGGTTACACATGACGTAATGGGTAATTATAAACTAACCAATGAGAATATATTTTTAAATCCGTCGTTTTCAAATGGCCCAACTCCAGAGCATATCTTTTGTGATTTTTAGGAGGACGATCTTCCAAAAATTTATCCCGATGTTTCGTTTAATGTAACTAGTCACAAATTCTATAATGTCGGCACTTTCTATTTTGAAGACGAGTTATTTGTTTACAAAACTTACCAACAGTAAAAGCTGTTTTCTGATTGGTTCCAGTCCTAGACCAGGAACAAATGAAATAGTAGCTTTCTGACCCAACTTTTAAATAGCCTTATAGACCTTATATTCTGATTGAATTTTTGAAATAATTCTCTCATCATCAGAAGAATATATTTCTCTTTGTTTATATGGCATAATTGTAAAAGTGACTGAACATGCAATTGATGAACTTCAAATTTCTATGGCCTTTAAAACTTGCAGCAAACTGTCAAATAAGTGAACAAAAGAAACCGTCATTCAAACCAATCAAATAATGTGGTTAATCAGCAAATACTCTGGTTGACCGGTACCTTAATTAAAGCAAAAGATTTCTCCTTCACATTTTGTAAATCTTCCTTTGAAAAAATAATATAGCGAGTGTCGCCTTTGTAGAAAGTAATATAACAAATGTAGCCGTTTCATTCGGTCAATCCATAGATATATCGACTTCAAAGAAAAGCAATTCGACCTTGCACTTCGTGCTTGGTCGATATGCTTTTCTGTGAAGCCGATATACATGTATCTATGGATAGAGCTCATGAAAGGTTATACACACACACACACACACATACACACACATAAATATATATATATATATATATATATAGCACTTATTTTGTGCTGTAAGAGCAGGGCACGTACACATGAACGACATTTAATTAATAATTCAATATCGTCAAAATAATATTGACTTTGAATGCTCTCCTATGAAAATGAATCAGTTTTTAAAGTAAATGTTGCCAAAGAGAAGTGTTAAACTCGTTCTCACTTTGAACAAAGAAGAAATGGAACTTTTAATTTTGGTTTCGATTTTGAATCGCTATTATGATCAAATAATAATGGTCAGTGAAACAGCGAAACACGTTAGCACACAGATATCCGTCACTATCACTTTTTTCTCTCAAGATACAATGAAAGACATGATTAAAAAAAAGATGATTATCACTAAAATTCAAGATTCAAGTCAAAAAACTATTAATGGCTTATTCATGAGAAAATAGTAATTTTCAATTAAAATCCACTTGTCATGTCGCTATTGTGTTTAGGCGCTCCCTGACTTTTCGAAAATGCGGAAAATTTACATGGAGAATTCATTCTTTAATGTTATTCGTAGGTTTTCCCTCCCATACATTTAAGCAAAATGATATAATGTTAAGTTCATTTTAAGAATAATAATGATGAAAACTGTAGAAAAAGTGTGACCTTTACATCTATATAAGGCATTCCATACACTGAGAGTTACAGAGGCCACACCGTCGCAAACCATGGCCAAAATGTACGATCCTCTCCCATTCTGGCCGTGTAGGAGAGAGTTACATGCGGACTCCGGACCGTGGCTTGAGACGATGCAAAGGCCAATGTCGAAATTTAACCTATATACATGTTTATGAAAACTTATCATATAGATATTTAACACAAATAAAAGCATATGAGTATCAAATATAGACCAACAAACCAACAATAATTAATAAAACAGTGGATTTAAGTGGGTATCAAGCATCATTTTCAAAGTTGAAGGAATTTTTTTCAGCAAGATGTATTTTTTTATTTCATTAACATGGGAGAATTTGACTCCTGCAATAAAATGGGGGGGGGGGGGGGCTTTTAATGAACATTTTCATACTAAATAGGTTACAAATTTTGTTAACGAGAAAAGGGTTTGGAATACATTTACATCGGAAAAGTTGACTCGACTACAACAAAAAGTGGGTGCCATTCAGCCCATTTTTAAACAAAATTATTAGTAACCCCTCTCCCCGATACTACGTACATGCATGGTTAATATCTATGTCCTTCTCCATTCCTTAAAAGCAATAGGTCTCAGGCACTTTGAGGCCTTGTTTCTAATACTTTTCAGTATTGGATAGCTGTAGATCTGTAGCTCGCTGGTCTGAAAAAAATTGGGATGGATGACCAGAGCTACAATTCCACCCATTGAAAAGAGTGCATATTTATTCCGTACAAAAATTGAGCTGTATCTCGATTTATTTCTTCGCATATTTAAACTGCCATCTCAAAATATTACTAACTATGTGTTCCTAACATATTCTTTTATTATTTCCACATCAAAACATTTCCAAAAACCGTTGTTAATACCCCCTCCCTCCCCGGGCATGAAATTTGAGGCAAATGTATATTGCCATTTTGGGTGGCAAGACAATTCTTCTCCACTTCCTGTAGATTCCAACTACAACGGTAGTTGATAGAGGTCTAACGAATTTTTTTTTGAAACTGGGCTTTTGTGCAGTTGAGGTGAGGTTTTGGAGAAATAAACCCAGAACCGAGCGCAACCTTTTTGTGCTCAATAAATGTACATTTTTTAAGGGTGGTACTGTCCCCGGTCTGTCAAATTTTGTTTTTTGGAGAGTTACAGTTCTGCTGCTACGTATTGGAGAGGTTCTTGGATATTAACCAATAAACAACCAGTTATTAGGGATACGAGTCAATTTTACTAACATTTGATACTTGTCAAACATAATTTTAATTAATAAACATAAATACGTCTGCTTAAACTTTTCTTGCCCAGTATGAATACGCAGTTCTGTTATAATACCCGGTATATTTCTTTCTCTGCAAAGAAGTAGGAACAGTTAATTATGCGATTTTCTTCTCAGTACGTGACATGGGACATTACGGTAGAGTTTTGGGTATTTGCAGCCGATCTTTTACATCTTAATATTTCTTTAAAATTCTTATAGAACATTGCACTGTTATACGCATACAGAAGAGGGTTGATTGCGGATTTAGACCATAACAACCAAACCAGAAATTCATACACGTACTCATTAACGCACTCTTCGCAAAAAGAAATTATAATGGTAGTAATAGTGTAAGGTGCCCAGGTCAAAACAAAAACAAGAACCAACATGGCTAGAAAACGTGCCGCCTTGATGTCCTTGCGTGTTGTTTCCTTGGCTGCGGCGCATACGTAGTCTGTATTTGGTTCGGATGGGGGATTTCCTGTAATTGTCGTAGGAAATACCACTGTTCGTTTACGTATTTCGAGATAAATGAGAAAATTCAAAATGCTGATTGCGATGAATGGAATGGCAAACTCGATAATGGCTGTAGTGGTGGTGAATATAAAGTGGTAAACAAATTGTACATCACAGTCCTCCGGGTCGTTCACATCTTCACCCGTCCATAAGTCCCAACCAATGATGGCTGGCGAATACAGAGAAAAGGCCAAGACCCAGGAGATAGCTATTTTTGTCGTGGCTACTTTTGTGGACTCTTTCAAGACGTAGTGTGGGCCGTGCTTTAACAGAAGCAATCTGTCTAAGCTGATGACGACGATAGAAATAACAGATTCTAAGCAAAGTGTAAAATCAACTACCAAAAAGACTTTACAGAAGTGGTATCCGAATGGCCAGGCAAAGCTGGTAATGGTATACACGGAATACACTGTCATGCTAAATACACTTAGAGAGAAGTCGGTAACGGCCAAGTTGACCAGATACATATTGTAAACGGTTTGCAGCTTTTTATCTCGCACGAACGCTATGATTGTCAATGCATTCCCCAACATGGCTATAATAATCAGGAAAGCTAAAAAGATTCCCAAGGGGACAGTCACATACAAGGGAAACAACTCCATACCATCCGCAGCGCCCTCTATTGAATTATTCATTGTAAACTCTGAAAAGGAATATATTTCATGAAAAGGTGAAGGTAACGAACAGTGATCGATCTTTAAAAAAATACAAATCTCTAAACAATTCACAAAACACGGATCCCTGGGAATTTCAGAGGTGGGATCAGATGTCTAGGAGGAGTAAGCATCCCCTGTTGACCGGTGTCGCATAATATTTGGTCCGCCTCGTTTAAAGGTCCGGGGGGACCTAATACGATAACATATAAGGTCCGGCCTGCCTCTATAATAAAAGGTCCGCCTTCGGTTTAATATGCAGATTTTTCTCCTTTATTGATTCGAAATTAATTTGCTTTATTAATCTTTTTAAATTATTTAAGGTATAGTTGTTATAAAAGTGTCCCTCCCAGCAAAATGGAGTTCCAGGGACGTACATGTATGTACATTGTATATATACTAAAAGGATCAAGTCTTGCGATATCTCGCTAGTTGCTGGATTTCGTTAGCCAATTTTAATTAATTATATTTCTAATATTATGATATATTTCAGTACAAAACCTCAAATTATCTATCAAAAATTTATTCAAAATTTGATGTTAGCACTGATTAACTGTTAGCTCCTTATCGTAGTACATACCTCCCAGGTAGTGCACAAAACAAAAAATATAAAGATGCAAAGATCTGTTGATCGAGTTACCTCATGGGAAAATCATGTACGACATGTGTCTTTTATAGTTTAAGTGATATCAATATTATCATTGCAAAATAAAAAAAAATACATATATATAATACGCATACCTTCACTGGCACATTGTTCAGTATATGGTGTTCGTAAGTCCAACAATGATCATTTCATTACAGTCTCTTTCCTAACTACGTTCGACTTCCACTTCCCAAAAAGAATTTTCATATCTTTCGGAAGATATTTCATTATATCATTAATAATAATTATGCATAATTCTTACGATTCATATTGTACCTAACTATAAAATAATTGGAGGGTCATTTTGACATGCAGGGACTTGTGATACGGTGTACTAGCCTATCCCGTTGTTGTTAAAACAACATGCCTGTGCTTTGGGGGGTAGGCCTATTGTCTCACCTGACGAAACTTGAAGTCGCATATCCCCCGTGTTTTATAACCATCGTTTCTTATCCAGTTAAAGACTAACGATTATTTCATTCTACTTGATATTACCCCGGGGTTAACACTGGTTAAGGAAGATGTGCATTAATTGGCAAAATCAAACCAAAGTCTATCGAGTTGAACATTTTAAGCAATAAAACACCCCCTCCCCCAAAAAAGGAAAAGATTAAAAATGTTGTTGTTGTATTTTTGGTGGGTGGGGTATAGCAAAATTATGCTGATACATGTCAAATAGTTTAAAAAGTACTGATGTTGTAGACTTTCCTCCCGCATTAATATTTTTTCCCGGAAAAACGAGCTTGAGTTTAAAGACCTCTTCCCTTTTGGAAAATGAGCCTAGCATAGGATTTTATTTCCGGAATTTTTTTAAAAATATTGTTTATTTCATTCCCTACATTTTGTAGTTTTCATTTCTGACGTTTTAAAATTTTCATCTCTGACATTTATCATCATAAAGTACTTTTCCGGCAATGAACACAAAATTGAAATTTCCCTTATAAAAAAATTAAAGAATAAATCAAAAATAATTCATTGATTTCCAAATAATAAGTTCTGCTTATATTTAAAAGAATCTTATGACGATTTTATCCTCGGACATATGTAAGTGTAAGTTGTGAATTTTTGTTCATCTTTTCAAATCAAGATAATCAGACTGAATTTGAGATCAGAAAGATTTAGATAGAATTTATGACATACAGAAACTATGTTTGACGGAATAAAGTAATCAAAGTTGAGGAGATTCTGTTTTTCGGTGCTTTCAAACACATATAATTCAGTGGGCATTAAAATTTGGTGATCAAAAATTGCATGTTTTATTATTGAAATTATTGCATTTTATTACTAAACTTTGTATTTTTACTAGACTTAGTGTTGATTGTATTGTAAAATGAAAACAAAAAATGTCGGAAATGCAATGCAAAATTTCGGAAATGACATGCAGCGAGCTTAAAAGAAACAACCCCGGCTTTATTATCCACCATAGGAAATACTCAATACGCTTCAGTACAGAATTTTCTCCTTTTCCACCTTCTTACTAGGAAGAATCTTATCCACCCATACTATTTACAGAGGGGTTTTACAGAGCAACTTGACATGTATTTCCCCCTAAAATAAAAAGGAAAGTGTCTGTTGAGATCGTGACTGATATAAAAATTCATAAAACACCACCAAGTCGTGTTCTTTTGTTAATATTTTTTATATTTATTTTGATTTTGGTTTAAATTAGATTTTCTACGACTTTAAGCGGCTATTTCTTTTTTATTTATGTGTGTGTGATGGGGGGGGGGATTATAGTTCTCTTGTTGCACGTCATCAACATTACTAATTAAATAATAATATATATCCTTGGTCCCTTCAGACAGATGTTTATGGTTGCATATAGATATACAATACAGTAGACACATCTCCTGCAAACGTACATAGAGTGGATAATTAATTGACATTAAAGTTTTGTCTTTTTGTCAGCATATTAAATGAAAAAAAGTACACTACTACATGTAGTATATATGCAATTCTTATGCACAATTAGGTCATTCCAAGAGTTTTCTAAGTTAATTTAGCGTCCATCCTAAAATTAAAAACCTAATTATCTTTTTACCCTGGAAAAACACACGAACCAACAAAGAAAAAAAAAACAATGGGAACTTACAGCATTTCCATAATTTTTGCTTTGTAAGTGAGATACATGTATGTGGGAAAAAAGAAAAACAGAGGGCGGACCTTTTATTATACTGCGTTTTAAGGTCCGCCCTGCCATTTTAACGATTTTTTTTTTACGTTACGATAACTTTTAATAAACTCTGTTCAAAATATTCGCCTTGTAATAGTAAGATATCTGAAATACAGAGGGCGGGCCTTTTATTATACTGCGTTTTAAGGTCCGCCCTATCTCTAGTTTGTATGCTACGAAAATAAACCTTGTTCAAAATTTTCGCCTTGTAATAGTTCGATATCTGAAAAACAGAGGGCAGACCTTTTATTATACTGCGTTTTAAGGTCCGCCCTGCCATTTTGACTAGTTTTTATGTTACGGAAATAAACCTTGTCCAAAATGTTTTCTTTCTAACAGTAAGACATATGAATTATAGATGGCGGACCTTTAAATATACTGCGTTTTAAGGTCCGCCCTGCCTCTTTCTCTAGTTTTTATGCTACGAAAATAAACCCCGTTCAAAATTTTCGCCTTGTAATAGTAAGATATCTGAAAAACAGAGGGTAGACCTTTTATTATTCTGCGTTTTAAGGTCCGCCCTGCCATTTTGACTAGTTTTTATGTTACGGAAATAAACCTTGTCCAAAATGTTTTCTTTCTAACAGTAAGATATCTGAAATATAGAGGGCGGACCTTTTATTATACTGCGTTTTAAGGTCCGCCCTGTCTCTTTCTCTAATTTTTATGCTACGAAAATAAACCCTGTTCAAAATTTTCGCCTTGTAATAGTAAGATATCTGAAATATAGAGGGCGGACCTTTTATTATACTGCGTTTTAAGGTCCGCCCTGTCTCTTCCTCTAATTTTTATGCTACGAAAATAAACCCCGTTCAAAATTTTCGCCTTGTAAAAGTAAGATATCTGAAATATAGAGGGCGGACCTTTTATTATTCTGCGTTTAGAGGTCCGCCCTGTCTCTTTCTCTAGTTTGTATGCTACGAAAATAAACCCCGTTCAAAATTTTCGCCTTGTAATAGTAAGATATCTGAAATATAGAGGGCGGACCCTTTATTATACTGCGTTTTAAGGTCCGCCCTTTCATTTTGACTAGTTTTTATGTTACGGAAATAAACCCTGTCCAAAATGTTTGCTTTCTAATGGTAAAATATCTGAAAAACAGAGGGCGGACCTTTTATCTCACTGCGTTTTAAGGTCCGCCCTGCCTCTTTTTCTAGTTTTTATGCTACGAAAATAAACCTGTTCAAAGTTTTCGCCTTGTAATAGTACGATATCTGAAATACAGAAGGCGGGGCTTTTATTATACTGCGTTTTAAGGTCCGCCCTGCCCCTTTCTCTATTTTTCATGCTACAGAAAAAAACCCTGTCTATAATTTTCTCTTTGTAGTAGATAGATCAAAACGGGGGATTAAGGTTTTACATAGGAATATCTAGGAAAAAGTCTTCAAAAATCTTCTTCTTAAGAACAACAATGTCATGATTAGTCATATTAATATAGAAGCATCATCAGTTAGTGTAGATGTACGTTTGTTCAAATCATGACCCCCGGGGTAGGGTGGGGTCACAATGGGGGGGATCAAAGTTTTACATAGGATATATATATCTCGAAAAATCTTCTCCACAAGAACAGCAAAGCCATCTTTAGTCAGATTGATATGGAAACATCCTCAGGTATTGTAGATTCAAATTTGTTTAAACCATGATAACAGCTCATATAAAATTAATTTTCCGCCGGAATATGGTTGAAATATAGCCGACTCGGCGTTAAACCCTAATCAATCAATCAATTAATCAAACCATGACCCCTAGGGGTAGGATGGGCCACAATGCATTATCAGGGTTTAGCATGTGAATGTATAGGAAAAAAATTCTAAAACCTTTTTTTTTCAGGAACAACAAAGCCATGTTTAGTCATATTGATATAGAAGTATCTTGAGGTAGTGTAAATTCAAGTTTGTTTAAATCATGACCCCGAGGGGTAGGGTGGGGCTAGCGCTATATCTATAAAAATCATGACACCTGGGGTAGGGTGGGGTCACAATAGTGATTAATGTTTTACATTGGAAGATATGTTAGAATAAATTTGCTGATGAAAAGCAGGGCCTTATTGACTCAGGTGAGCGTTGTGGCCCATGGGCCTCTTATTTTATGTCAAGGTCTTGGAAAATCGTAGGACGATTCTTTTATAAAAGGCAGTGACGAATCTGAATGTATAATGGTAGT